ATGTTATTAAATCTAGTAAAACTGACCATTAACAATAATACACCTATTTTCAGAATACTTTTCCACCAGGAATGTTATTAAATCTAGTAAAACTGACTATTAACAATAATACACCTATTTTCAGAATATTTTTCCACCAGGAATGTTATTAAATCTAGTAAAACTGACCATTAACAATAATACACCTATTTTCAGAGTACTTTTCCAACAGGAATGTTATTCAATCTAGTAAAACTGACTATTAACAATAATACACCTATTTTCAGAATATCTTGCATCAAGCTCATCATTAAATATAGTAATAACTGATCATAACCATTCATCACCCGTCTTCTGAATACACTGCACCAGAACGGTTATTAAATCTAGTAATAACTGACCATAACTATTCATCACCTGTCTTCCAAATACCTTGTACCAGGATGGGTATTAAATCTAGTTAGAACGCCTGTCTTCTTAATACCTTGCATCAGGTTGGTTATTTAATCTAGTAATAACTGACCATAACCATTCATCAACTGTCTTCCAAATACCTTGTACCAGGATGGGTATTAAATCTAGTTAGAACGCCTGTCTTCTTAATACCTTGCATCAGGTTGGTTATTAAATCTTAGACTAGTAATAACTAACCATAAGCATTCCTTGCCTGTCTTCTTAATACCTTACACCAAAATGGTTATTAAATCCAGTAATAACCTCATAATATACCAAAGATCTGACATTGCGTTGGCGAATTGGTGATAATTTTCCAAGCTTTCTCCCTCTGTTTCACTACCAAAAATATACTCCAGTACATTTGCTATGCGCTTCGTCCGCGCTCCGAAGTTGGACGTGGCGGGTTTATTTGTCACACTTTTAATGAATAAATTATTTATTCACGTATGCAAACGCCCTTATTTGAAATCTCATCAATCGGCGCATCGCTAATCGAGTCTCACAAATCCTGTTTGGATAAAATCAAATCCTTCAATTAATTCTCAGTTCTATATTTTCTTGAATATACCCACACAATGAGCGTAAATTGCATCATGTTCTCAAAGCTTTCAGGTTGCAACCTCGACAAACGCATAGCAGCAATTTCTCGTTTATGTCTACAGTAACCCCAGCCAAAGCGGAAGGTCGTTCGACATGTATTTTGATGGTCGTTTTGTTTCAATTTGAATACGTTTATACAGAATTTTAGGGGTTGACCAGGTACACGCAAGTTCCATAAACATATACGACAGTTTTCACCAGGAGATATATTGATAGTTTTTTCCAGCAATTCGTTCCTAGTAAAAAGTAGTAACTAGTAAATTTGTCAAGATTCGTTATTTCAGAGTGTGCATTTCCACTGCGATCTCGTCAACATTTCACTCAACATTTTATCAGTTTTTTTGTTTTGAAAGTATCGCACGCCAAATCCATTGCTGATCAAGGTGGCAGTGAATGATATTTCACCCTAACAACGAAATAAAATGTAGTTTCAATGTGTGTTATCTGTTTACACTTTAATTTATTAATTTTTCATGTGGGTAAATTTGTTACTGTTTATAAACCAATCATTCGAGCTTCGAAAATCAGGTTTAATTTTCTAGACTCCTATTTCTAATATTCATTCATATTTTAATTCATTTTCTTTGCTCTACAAATATAAAACATGCAGCCTGTTAGCAATGAACAATATGTATAGTATAGTATCAAAACAACCAGACTTGCTGTTTTCAACAAGAATTGAAAATATCACTACAAATGACAAAAATAATGTAGTACCTATTTATGTAATATCAAAGCAATTGGACGGTTTCCAACAAGAAAAAAATCACAAAAATATTCATCACAATTAGAGAATTGAATATTTCACAAGAAATGAACAAATCTGAGAGAGGTCCACATGTAGTAGCTATATGTATAATTGGACTTGTGGTTGTTAACAAAAAGTCGAAAATATCACTTTTTACTAAAAATTACAAAATATTCATCAAAATTAGAGATTTAAAGATACCATTACAAAATAAACAAATTTGAGAGAGTTCCACATGTAGTACCTATATATGTAATATCAAAGCAATTGGACTTGCGGTTTTCAACAAGAAGTCGAAAATATCACTTTTTACCAACAATTTCAAAAATATTCATCAAATTTAGAGAATTAAAGATATCATAACAAAATGAACAAATCTAAGAGAGGTCCACATGTAGTACCTATATATGTAATATCAAAGCAATTGGACTTGCGGTTTTCAACAGGAAGTTGAAAATATAACTTTTTACTAAACATAACAAAAATATTCATCAAAATTAGAGAATTGAAGTTATCATCATGAAATGAACAAATCTGAGAGAGGTCTACCCAAGGTATACACCAAGTATTAAAGCATTCGGGCTTGTAGTTTTCAAGAAGAAGTCGAAAAGGTAAAATATTGACACGGACGACGACGACGACAGACAAATACTCATATGATAAGCTCCGCTTGACAAAGTCGACAGTGGAGCTAAAAATATGTGTGGTAATCATTACTTTTGAAAAATGACGGATCAGTTTATTTAATTAAATTTTTGGTAGGATAAACTGAAATATTGAAGAATAGTTGAAAAGAGTCTGACGTGGTCATAAAACTAATCTTACATCACAACCAATCTATATCAATTATGAATCGATCTATTTTGTTCTTTACCAATAGTAAGTATTTATAATTATTTGTTAAAGAGTCAAAATTCAAAGTTAATAACCTAGTCATATAACTATTATTTAAATTGATGAATTTAAGGGCAAACAGTCTATACATATATTTTATCAAATCTATGTTTTATTTTAAACTGTCTAATTTTTTGAATACGTTTAAACCTATTTCAAGTTTCATTTTGGTGTTTTTTAATTAAAATTAACCTTGATTTACTACTAAAATTGTTTTAATTTGTTGATTTTTATTTATTTAAATTGTGCCATTGACATTCAAATATGAGATATATCTCTACCTTGAACTCGTCCTTGTCAGCCAGAATCATTATTTCAAAGTTATGACCATGTGCGAATGGCTGGTAAGGCACACCATTTTCCTCGGCACCCCACTTATCGTTTGTCAGCGTATTCCTAACAATATGCCCAAGCTTTACTCGGATTGCAAGGTGGAATGCAATGTCTGCACGTGGTTTAGTACTGGTACCAATTTGAAAGTTAATACCAAACCTGGGAAAACAATTGGGTTACTTGATTACAATGATATAACACAAAGCAAGCAAACATACAGATGAACACACATCGTAACACATTTTTCGAATGTAAATTACTCATTCCATTTGTGCAACTGTGTTACGATCGCCACAGTTTCAAAATTAATAGCTGTCAGAACTGTTCATAAAACACGGAACTGGAGCTGCGTGAATCACAAATTATTTTTATAAGTAAATTTTAAAGGTTGATATACAGGATACCTATCTTTACCTATTCCTAATCCGAGTGCCAAGTCACAGTGAATTAAATTAAATTTTAAGTTGAATTTTAGCTAGACACATCAAATACCATCCCTGTGTACGATATGACACATATCGGGTCTGGACCCGCGTTTTGATGACAATCTACAGGCAGAATACAGGCACGTCAAGACATGTGCATGATATACATGTAAACGCGTTAAAAGTTGTAATGTACCTGTCGGCCTTTGGGGGGATAGTTCCATATATGATTACCATTTTTCCAGGACTCAGACATCCAGGGATGTGACCAAGGAAAGGAATGCTCTGTGGAAAATAATACATAAATCTATATTATTGACAACTATGCATCATAATTCATTTGTCACAGATGTCCAACAGGAATGAAACTGTAACATTGTGTCTCAAATTGTCAAGATGTATATTTGCTAATTTGTTGCTGTAAATTCCTAGTACATTCAGATCACATATTTGCATGAAATTGCCACAATTGAGATCGAGACGTTAATTAAACAATGTTTAGACTCAATAATTGGAAAATAGAAACTAGCATTCTTTAAAACAAATTGGCCGTCATTTGATCATTTTTAACCCAATCTGAAATTGAAGGTACCATTATGTATTTACTGCGTTTAAATTAAATCTAGCTATGATTGGAATCCGGTTCTGAATATGATTTAATACATTTTCGGCCTTATTATGGCTTTGTTCATCTTGTATCGGACCATAAGTTAAATGCGCGTGCATATGACAGATATTAGTTATGTATGAAGATTATAAGATATATGGATTTGGAGCTATATTCTTTAAAACAAAATGCCCGCTAGTCGGACATTTCGAATTAAAATCGAAAAATAAAATGACGTGCATGAAGGTTTAATCAAGTCCAATGCATGTACCAAGTGTGAACCGAATCCATCCATGCACGAGCTAGTGAGAGCCTATGTACACTGACTTACGGTAGTTTTACAGTAAGAAGATTCACAATTATAGGAATTCGTACATGGGTGCATTGAATTCAACGTTAATTTAAACAACAATAGATAATAGTAACAATCACCGTTTCGTCCGACAAATTGGTCCATGAATCAAAACGTTAAATTACTCATTAAATGACAACACAAATATATCACTGTTTTCAGTAAAGATAAATATACTCACAGGATTGACAATGGGTACTATCGGGGCGGCAGATACGCAAGTTCCACCTGCTGCAACCTAAATAACACACCATACAAACGTTAGTTTATAATCCCTATTAAATGAAACACTGATATATAATTATGTTACGTATGTATATCAGTATTCATGATACATGTTTTGTAACTGATAGAACTAAAAAAATGCTAAGGCTAAACTTATTTTACTCTGTCATGTTAAATAAATGCTTTATATAAAATGTCATAGATTACTAATTTTTTGACAATGTACCTGTTCATCCTGGAACTTCACAGATGTGATTATGACGTCACCAATGATACCAAGATAGTCGATTTTCGTCAGAGGTCTGACACGGTGTTTGTACGTAATGTAATGCTGACTGTTGACAGCAACCTGTAAGGATGTACAGTTCAATATTTATGTCACCAATTCACCAAAAAATGTATATATGTATTTATTCACGGTACTCGTAGGCCTCTAAAACACATTATTTACCATTAAAACATGTTTTCTCGACGTTTTCACTGTGGTTTTATCGTTTGCTGATATTCACTGAACCAATATGAAACGATATGGCCATCAAATTACTTTTCGCACAAAACACAGAACAGATATCCATGAAAATGGTGATTTTGGGACCCATGGTAAAAAAAAGTCCCACAACTTTGGTTTGATTACCTATGGGGAAAAGGATTATATATAGTTATAAGCTCGGATATTATTAAGGTCGTAAGCCTTGCCGCTTGAATACTTCACGACTTCAGTGGTGATGAGTAAAGTGCACATGTCCTTCTCTATTAATGTACAAATGAATGATATATGGGATAAAAAAAAGTCGGGTGTGTGTAAAAGAAAGAGCATATCCTGCCGTATATAAATCAGAGTAGCATATTCATGAAGGAACTTTCTCCGTAAAACAAATGAAGCTGAAACAATCAGAGATCATCAACTTAGTTGATTCGTTGTATTGCTTTGCCAGTTCAAGATACCTGCCATAGAATGTTGAGATAATAAGTTCTTTTAAAAAACCCTTGACTTAGCAGCTTGGATGACAGATGTCTACAATGTTTCCCATATTCCATCCAGAGTAAGATCTAGAATAGCGAATAATTTGCATACACCATATGTAGGAGAAAAAGGGATATTACGACAAAGATTAGAGAAATTGATGATGGTCCAATATTTCTTTTGTCATATAATCTAGAAGATCAAGTGTAATTTGAATTTGTCATGCGGTATGATAGTATACAGTGTGGAAAAGTCAAAAATGTTGATAGCAGAAATTATAGACAGTAACCTAGATATCGAGTTTTCAAAAAGTTGAATTCTGCAATAACTACAATTGATTAACACGAAAATATAGCAACAGAATTTTGAAGTTTATCTTTGATGTTAAGAACTTGGAAGGTTTTTTGGTTGAGCACTTAGATGAACCTGCTATAAATCTGGCTTTATGTTTTATGTAGGTTAGGAATCCCCATAACATTCATTACTTGTCTTCCGATTACCTCGCACCAAGATGGTTACTAAATCTACTAATATTCAGTCCTCATCTGGGCCGTCTGGCGCTTGAGGCGAAACAAGAAGTTTCTATCTGGCTCTGTCAACCGCTATCCTGGGGGCAGTCTCAAGGGACAGTCTCTTACTCCTGAGCTCCTTTTCTAGTGTTCTTCTCCAGGTTTCTCATGGCCGACCTCGGTTTCTCCTCTCTTGAGGCGTCCAATATAATGATCTTCTTTAGAGAGAAGATGATGGCATGCGGCACACATGTCCCAGCCATCTCCATCGTCAGATCTACTAATCTACTAATAACTGACCAAAAAAAGTCACCGTCTGTCTGGTTGGTTATTATATATACTAATAACATACCACAATTATTCATTACCTGACTTCCAAATACCACTGAACCAGGTCGGTTATTAATTCTAGTGATAACTAACCATAAGCATGCATCGCCTATCTGCCAAATACCTCGCACCAGAATGCTTATTAAATCTAGTAATAACTGAACATAACCATTCATCACCTGTCTTCCGAATATCTTGTACCAGGATAGTTATTAAATCTAGTATTAACTGACCATAACCATTCATCACATGTCTTTCAAATATCATACATCAGGGTGGTTATTGAGTCTAGTAATAACTGAACTTAACAATTCACCACCTGTCTTTTGAATATCTTGCACCAGCATGCTTATTAAATCAAGTAATAACCGACCACAACAATTAATCACCTGTCTTCCAAATAATTTGCACCAGGATGGTTATTAAATCTAGTAATAAATGATCATTAGGCATTCATCGTCCACGTGCATACTACCCACTGGCAAAATATTAAAATACAAGATTCGAACAACTTCGGACAATAATTTTTGGAGATTTCATCTTTGACTACGGTTTCGTACTCGATTGTTCATTATATAATTAACCGATTCACATTTATGGATCCGTTATGTCCAGCCAAGAATGTCGGGCTCGGATGCACTCGAAACCTCATATAGTGGAATACGATACGAGTGTTTCAAAACTACCAAGCCACAGTCCCTCTATCAAGCCAACTGCTTCTGAGTTGATTCGTGACTGTTAGCAGGGAGAGTCTGTGATGCTGTCTTGCATGACAAACGAATCGTCCCTCAAGTTTATGAAAACAACTGTCAGGTCTATTGTATACGGATCAGCTGTGATGGAATTTGTCCACAATATGGAATGCATTTTCGTATACTTGCTAGTAAAAATCGACGCATAATTAAGTGCTGCTAATTCCGATTCATCGATGTCGAAGGTAACATTTTTATATATGTATGAGAAACTGGATCACATTGACAACTATAATGTACGGCTTTTGGCCAGAGTTATGAAAGCAGGTTATGTGACTAGTTTGATCAGAACACGGCAAAATTTACAATCCCACATCGAAACACTGGGTCAAAGTTTAATCTCAATTGTATTTTATATATTTATACTATAATTGTAGTAATAATACTTTTATCTTATTGTAATCTAATTTCACATTAAATTGATGGTGTATAACATCACCCACAACAATTGTGCCCACCTCATGGAGAAAGAATGACAAAAGTTCAAATGTCAAATGCGGAAAATTGTAGCTATGTGCATTTATATAAATTACATGTATCAAAATATTTCTTGCTTTCATTTGAATGTGTAATCTGTGTAGTGTTTCTGGAGTGCAAGAAGTCAAGTCCACCAGGGATGTACTTGGGCGATTTGGACATGTTTAGTGTAATACGGGGTGGCGTTTAGTCTAGGATAATGCAACATTGTTGCAATATTTTGTTTTAGCTTAATTAATTGATAAGCAATTGTTAGCAAAATAACAATCTAAATCGCAACATTGCCCAGCGGATTATTTTCGCGATGACAGTAAATCTGGTAATAACTGATTATATCTTTTTACCAGGCTAGTCGTTAAATCTAACAACCGAATGGTGTTATAGATCTCTGTTCAATAAACAGTGTAACTATATGTGGTGTAAAACAAACTTTCAATCAATTTTGATTTTTTTACAGAAAACATGGTGCTAAACTACCCGTGACTATCCTATGTTTTTATGTTGCATCCTTGTTTTCAATTCTCAAACAAATATTTGTAATTCATTTGAGTTGTATATATTAAAATATAATAATAGTTGAAAAATGAAGAAATAAAAAAATATATTTATGTTAGGAAATTACTATTTGCAAAAAAAAACACACACAATGGAATCTATTGACTGTAAATAAATTGATCTTGTCGGCCATATGTTAAGTTGTTTTCATAATTCTTTTTAGTTTTCGTCGATAAAAAAGCAAGAACAAAGCAGTTTTGTGAATAAATTCTCGTTGGTTTTTATATTCCTATGAGCTGAGAATTCAAAATACCATCGCCCGATTCGTACTGTTTCGTTGTAGCCGACCATCCCTTCGAAATCGCCGTGATCGTGTTAGGAATGGCTGTATTTGATCTTAGTTAAATTTAAAGAATCTTGAGTTACTACTAAAATTGATTTTAATTCATTGATTTTTTTAAATATTTATTCAATATGAGATATCTCTACCTTGAATTCGTCCTTGTCAGCTAGGATCATTATTTCAAAGTTTTGACCATGTATGAATGGCTGGTAAGGCACACCACTTTCTTCGGCACCCCACTTATCGTTTGTCAGCGTATTCCTAACAATATGCCCAAGCTTTACTCGGATTGCAAGGTGGAATGCAATGTCTGCACGTGGTTTAATACTGGTACCAATCTGAAAGTTTATACCAAACCTGAGAAAACAATTGGGTTACTTGATTACAATGATATAAAACAAAGAACATAAAGAAACATAGAAAAGAAACATAAAGATGAACAAACAAACAAATAATGTAGATTTCGAATGTAGATTATCATTTGTGCAACTGTGTTACTAGCTTCACAGTTTAAATTATTCAAGTCAATTTGAAGAAATATGTGTCATTGAATTAGATATTGAGGTTGCTGTACAGTATACCTACCTATTCCTAATCCGAGTGCTAAGTCACAGTGAATTACATTTTCAGCCGTTCTGAGAATTATTCGGACAGTCAGTTAGCAAAATGACTTGCAACTTTGCAAAACACTTTGGTCTTTGCCCAATCTAGACTTGTCGGCGCCACTTGAGTGACGGGCGCGTGGTTTGGGATTACTATTTCATAGGGGTTGTCTGCTTGGTGAATTGTAAGTATTATCTAGCGTGCGTTCACAGCAACCATTCTTTATTTTTTATAATTATATTGTAATTATTTTTCAGTAATTTTGAAATCCAAGTTGGATGTTGCTTAAAATCTGTCAAAAAATGTCAACTCCTCGCTCATTTTTAGTCA